AACTTTGTTGCTGCAGCAGCCAGGGGCAGCAGCACCCCACAAAAAGCGCTGCAGCAGCAAGGTGCAGCAGCGCCCCACTCAAAGGAGCCGCTGCAGCAGCAGCCAAGGCAGCAACGCCCCACACACGAGCCAAGGCAGGGAGACCACTGAGGTGCCTGTACACCCGAGGTGTCTGTACACCCCAAGTGTCTGTACACCCGAAGTGTCTGTACACCCCAAGTGTCTGTACACCTGCGGTGTCTGTACAGCTGCGGTGTCTGTACACCCGAGGTGTCTGTACACCCGAGGTGTCTGTACACCCGAAGTCTCTGTACAGCTGCGGTGTCTGTACACCCGAGGTGTCTGTACACCCGAAGTGTCTGTACAGGTGTAGTGTCTGTACAGCTGCGGTGTCTGTACAGCTGCGGTGTCTGTACACCCCAAGTGTCCGTACAGCTGCGGTGTCTGTACAGCTGCGGTGTCTGTACACCCCAAGTCAGGCGTCGGGCTTCAGGCGCTCCGCGAGGGCCTCGGCTTCTGCATTTCGGCCCAACTTGTAAAGAGTTTCGACTTTGCTGGTCAGCAGCCGCTGCTCCCTCATGTCCATTACCTGCGCAAAACCCTAAACCCTAAACCCTAAACCCTAAACCCCAGTCCCGCGCTCTCTGTCTTCCCGCCGCCTGGCCCTTCTGCCCGCCAGGTGTACAGACACCCCAAACCCCTCTTACTGCCCCCAATGTGGGGCCCCCCTAACTCCTTTCCTCTGGGGCCCCGGGGCCCCAGGGGCCCCCCAGAAGACTTAGGGGCCCCCCAGAAGACTTAGGGGCCCCCCAGAGGACGTAGGGGCCCCCCAAAAGACTTAGGGGCCCCCTACAAGGCCCCAGGGGCCCCCAGAAGGCCCTAGGGGCCCCCTTAAGGGCCCCAGGGGCCCTCCTTGCTTCAGGGCCCTCACCTTTTCCCTGTCTTGCCGCAGCAGCTGCAGCTCCTGAGCAGCAAGAAGCTTCTTTCTTTCCTCTCTTATCTTTCGGATTTCGCGCCTGCGGAGCAGCAGCAGAAAACCCACAAAACGGCGCTTCTGAGGTGTACGTACACCCCAGGCCGTGCGTACACCCAGGGGTGCGCTTTGGGGTGTGTGTACACCCCGAGGTGTCTGTACACCCCGAAAGACACATCAAATAAAAGAGAAAAAGAAACAAAAAGAAACAACAGTTAAAAGAGAAAGAGAAGCAAAAGAAATGATAAATACAAGAGAAAAAGGGGCAAAAGAAACATCGACAAAAAGAGGAAAAGAACCAGAAGAAACATTAAATGAAAGAGAAAAAGGCGGCGTAAAAAAATTCAAACAAAAGAGAAAAAAGGGCGAAAAAGACTTCAAACAAAAGAAAAAAAGGAAGCAAAAGAAACATTAAGTAATAGAAAAAAAGAAGCGGAAGAAACATCAAATAAAAGAGAAAGAGAAGCAAAAAGAACATTAAATGATAGAGAAAAAAACGACGGAAAAGACTTCAAATAAAAGAGGAAAGGAAGCAAAAGGAGCATCAAATGATTGAGAAAAAGAAGCAAGAGAAGCATCAAATGAAAGAGAA